TCAACAGACACCCCCGCGGGAAGAACTTTGTTTCTACTCGGCTTTCGCCATCGCCATCGCTTTCACCAACACCAACACCCTTCCCACTCTTTCCCCTCGTATTTTCGTGGTTGCCAGTCAGACCGCATGTTCAAGGCTTCTTGGAGTTTGTGCGACTTGGTCGCGGCCCGTTGCAGCTTGGCGGCGTCCACGTCTCCAGGCAAGCCATGACTGAAACACGCGTCGACGAAGCGCGTTGCACGTCCTTCCATGCAATAGACGCGCCTTCGTTAAATATGAGGCCTGCCACCTTTTTGCTAGAGATATATCGTTTCTACCAATAAAAAGATTTTCTTCAGACTCATTTTCCTCTCGGAAAGGAAACCGAAACACATAATTGGGGCCACATGATTCTTGCTTTCGGTTTACGAATTCAAGACTTGTATCACGGCTGTTTGTAGCAGCCACAGTCTCCGTCCCGTTTTGCTGGAGCTGTGTCACAATGACCATGTTTTCCCCTACAATCTTCTTAAAGCGAGCATGATCCACTTGCAGTGCACGCAGAGCCGCGCCAATTTCATGAAGTTCCTTCGTGAAGTCGCGCAACTGTTTTTGGTCAACAATCTCTGCCTTCGAGCGCACGGCCTGAGGGCCCTCACGGGCAAGGGTCGCAACAGCAGCAGTGGAGGCAGAACTTAACGGGCCTAGCCTGCGGCCAAGATCCACCACACACGCCATAGCTTCCTTGCAGCGCCGTCGATTTTCCTTTGTCACCCGCCATATCTCCTGACAATTCGTTGCAAGCACCTCATCACGTTCTCCAAGCTGGCGAAGTTTCTCAGCAGCGCGTCCCATAAACAGCATCCAGCGTTGATTTTCCTCCCAGTTCATCTTGCGCTCCGTCTCCAAACCCTCAGAGAGGAGAGTCAAAACTGTCATTGCCTCACGCAGCGCGGTGGCCAACTCATCCTCCGGCACTGTTGCTCCCTCGGGCTTGGTGCAGGAGGCTGCGGGCACCAATCTCAGTTTTTCCTCAATGAGCATCACATGGCCCCACATCTTGGACACATACCCTTTCACCTCCTTGCGGACCTCGGAAATCTTCAGCGCGGCCTCCATCACAAGGAACCGCAGCTTCCCCTCCTGCTCCCTTTGCTCTTGATAGAGCCGGTCAATTTGCTGGCTGCAGGAGTCCAACCGCGCTGCAAACTCCTTCGCTATCTTCCTCTCAAGCTCCTCCCGAACCCTTGCGATGATGAAGCCCTCGAACTCGGATAGGTGGCCATCGACGGAAGCCAAGAGTTGCGGATGAATCTTCCCACCCCCGACGGCGTCCGCACACCACCCGCGCGCCAGCTGCTCTGAGCGGACAAATTTGCCTATGTCGTGTTGAATCATTCGGCAAAAATTGGTAGACTGCCGTGCCTCCATGAGGGCCTCCTCCACTTTTTCTTGAAGCAGCCCCAACTCCGCCCGTGGGTCATAATGCTCGTGCCTCCTGGGGGCTCCCGGCGCAACGGCGTCACTCATTATCCCTGCTTTACTTCAACGCATGCCCAGCAGCAACAACGACACGCACAGACACACACGCAAGAAAAAGGCAAGAAAAGAAAACAAATCAAAACAAAAAAAGGTAATAATAATAATTATAACAAAATTGGCAATGCAACGCCGATTTGATGGCACAGACCACAGAGAGAGAGAGAAAGAGAGAGACCGCAAGAAACAACAACAACAAAGGAGGTGAGGTTTCACCTATTGGAGAAAGAAGAAATAAGAAAAAATTGGAACATGACGAAAAAAAAAACACGATTAGAAGCAAAATACGACACATATCATAAAACTGACAGGGCGAGGTGTTCGCGCCGTGCAGCCACACCTCATCCCAGAGAGGAGCCACGCACACGCACACGTAAAGGGAACTATACCTGCGTTTTTCCATTGCTGAAGTGGCCATGAGTGGGTCTTTGGGTCCTTTTTTTTTTCGTTTTTTTTTTCAAATTCATTCTTATTCTTTATAAGGTGTCTACTCTGCTCATGAAAAATTCGGGAGTTCCTGTAGAGCCTCGCGAACCTCCTCGCCAACAGGGCCTTTTGTTTCTTGAAGGTTGTAGACAAGAATGGCAACCTCCTCAAACTTGGTGTTTAACTCGGCGTACTGCCGCATCATTGCTTCCGGCGCCCCAGCATTTACAGTGCGGAAGGATGCCGTAAATCTCCGGGCCTCGTCCATCTTGGCACGAAACTTGTTGCTCATGCTTCGAAACACCTTGACTGCAACCACCAGCAACGGCTCGTGCCCATGCTTCAGCGCGTATGCGAGCACGTCGAGCAAGTCGGGGAGCGTGCTAATGCTGATGCGTTCCTTCATACGCATGTGCTGCATCGCCACCAGGAAGTCACTCACCGCCCCGCAGTCAGAGCTATCCACGCACAGCCGCTTGAGGTACTCCAAGGCCTGTGGGGGGTCACGCACCCAGAGGGAACGAACTACGCGGATGTGCGTTAGCCGTCGCCGAAGCGCAGATAGCATGGGGGCACTTGACCCAAGTAGCTCCGCCAGTTGCGAGTCGGGCGACGCGTCGACGGGCACGGCAGTTGCAGGCTCAACGCGCACCATTGGGGGGGTCTGTTGTTGTTGTTGTCGTACTTGCCGTTGCTGCTGCGGCCACCGAGGCCTCAACACTGGGCTCACCGCGGAACCCGACGGCATTTCCATATTTTCTGCAAACGATGAATTTACACGCGGCGACGCCGCAGACGCCACAGCCGTAGAAGCATCAGTTTGGCAATTGACATATTTGCTACAGCCAAGAGGAAGACGGCCCATTGTCGCCGTCGCACTGCTGAATTCAATAAACCAAGCCTCATCCGATAGAGATGAGTAGGTTAAGTCGCCAATAATACTCCATGGTGACTCGGTGGTAGTCGCCGTGTTGTCACTCATCATTGTAAAATCATAAACGCGTAAAACGTGGTAGGCCGCCGAAAGCAGCTTCTTTCCAAATAGATGTACGGCGTCCACGGGTGTCTCGAGCGGATTGCTCTGAAAAACCCTCGTGAAGTTCTCTACCTCCCACAACGACACAGTACCGTCACTACTGCCTACCGCCATATAGTATTGCTCAGGATGAAAATGAATAGATGTGATGGCCCCGCTATGGGCCTTAAACTCATTCAACTGCCGTCCAGAGACCAAGTCGTACAGGCGTATAATACCTTCAGCGCAGCCGCTGACAGCCCATCTACCATTAGGGGAGAATTGGGTGGCACACAGCGGTGCGGATGCTCCCTTGTAAGACTGCAGACACTTCTTTTTCCTTGTGTCCCAAATACGAAGACTCTTGTCTCGCGAACAGGTGGCGATAAAGTCGGTGTAGCGGTGGTAATCCACGCACGTCACGGTTGACTTATGGCTTGCAGCAAACGAGCGCACAGGCTGCTCTGTGGTGACGTCCCAAAGACGAACACCACCACTATCACTTCCTCCCACCACATGGTGTTGCTGCGGGTCAAAGGCAAGGGCCGTCAGGGGCAAAGCATCGCCGTCTAAGCGGGCGACACGGGAATAGCCCTCGAACGGATATACATACACAGCACCGTCCTTCCCGCCAAGGCCTACTAGCTGCTGTGCACGATTCAGACTGAACTTTGCGCAATACACTTGGCATGGGAGCTGCAACACAGAGGAGGCGGCCGCCATGGCCCTTCTTCTATCAAAAAAAAAAAGAAAATAAAAACGCGTGCGCGTGCGACCTCCATAGCTGCGGAGCAGAGCAACAAGTCTCTTGGGCAATCTTCTCCCACGCCGCTGGTGTAATCTTCTCCCCCCGACGTAGACGGCAGAACAGACACATCTACACACACACACAGAGCGAGTGAGAGCGAGGCGCCGGGGGCGGGAGAAAGTGAGATGCATGACAGAGCTTCGGTAGTATCAAGTGCTGTTCCCCCTTTCGGGGCGTTGTTGTTTCATCACAACGAAAAATACTTTCCATCGTGGTGCTTGACGACAATGCATTTGTCATCCTCAACTACGCCCTCATCCGTTGCGTGCAGCAGCTCAAAGCAAGGAACACAGTAAGGACAAGGACTGCAGGGTGAAAGCTCATCCTTGTAGCACACGATGGTGGCTGGAAAATGTCTGCACATGCGGCACCGCACGGCGCGACGAGGCGCCTTCATGACACGCTGTGGATAGGCCCCTTTCTCCCGATCACACCGTTCCAGCCCCCGAAGGCTCGTTACCGAACTTAGGTAAAAATAGTGATTGCACCATCCAATGTGCCGCATGACGCCAAATTCGCCGAGTCGCAGATCCAGGTCGGCAACGGTGGTCTCTGTGATGTACTTCACAGGACATCGTCCAAACGCCACGGCATCCATGTTCCCAAAATCCCCATCCCCCATTGGCTGAAAGTGACGGATTGGGGCGCTCAAATCGTCGTAGTTTTCACCTTCGACCCCGGCGTGACGATTGTCAACATAGAAAGTACCGCCGATAAAAATAAAGGCATTCCTAGACATATTTGCAGGCAGACAGTTTCTACACTCGAAGGCATCAATGAGGGTGCCAAGAGTCTGGCAAGAAAGCACGGCCCAAGTGTCATGCGCCTCCAAAGTCGCATCCGGCGAAAAGAAGGTGAATTCCCAGCGATGGGAGTGATCCTCCAAACAAAAATCCTCGCTGGCGTCTCGCACAGTCCAACGTGAACCCTCCGTGAGAGCATTCTCCTGATGTCGCCATCCCCTGCTGAAGGTCGCATGATTTACGCTCTCTAGTGCCTTCAGGTGAAGTTTCCCTCCGTCAAATTCGTTTTCAACCTCACCCTGCAATTGCTTCACGGGCTCCACGTCCACAAGAAATTGAAACACCGTTGAGCGTTCCCCACATTCCGTGTACTCTGCCTTAATGCGGGCTAGTTGGCGCTCACCTTCCTTCCGCACCTTTCCAACAATTCGTTCTGTCTTGGAGAGGACTTTTCGTGGGGGGATTGCCGGGAGCTGTACCAGCTCCTTTGCAACAAGCTCGTCTAGTCGCACGTCCAGTGCACGCAACGCCTCTTCCATGGGTCCAATGGTGAAGTAGTTGCCGTACGGATCCCCACACTGCTCCAGCCGTGGAGGCAGGCGGACCACCGTCCCGACGGGTAGCGGCTCCAGGTGGGTGTGTGCGTCGAGCCCGGGGTTGAGCTGACGGAGGTCGGAGACGGAGATCGCGGTCTGCGCGGAGATGGCGGCGAGGGAGACTCGGTTTGTGGCGTCGATGGCAATGGCAAACGGGTCCAGCGCCGTCTTGGACGGCATTTGCCCCCTCTCCTCCCCGCCCTTCCCTCTACACGCACAGAGAGAGAGAGAGAGAGAGAGGGAAGGAGGCAAAATCCGCCCCCAGTAG